AAAAAAAAAAATCAACATGGAACAAATGAAAAATGATGAAAATCAACATGGAAAAAGGTTTGATTTTCCAAGTCTCCACAATTTACGAAATCACTATTTGCTTGTCCATCTCTTGTTCACCTGGCAACAACTGACCCTGGAACAGCAGCACCGATACTCTCACAGGAAGATGACGAGGAAGAGGCACTCTGTTGGAATAATTTTCTGCTTTTTGAACTTGCATTTCTCAGCTTTCAAATACTGTTTTAATTGTAAAAAGAATTCTTACAGGAAAGCACTTTTTTAGCTACATGTCCCAGACTCTTCAGGTCTTTGTCATCAGAGCTTCAAGCTGTATTACTGTTTAACTAAGATGTATGTAAAGACTCAGTTAATTTATATTAACCTACCAAGCTAAACATGCTTGTGCTGGGCCACCTGCACCATCCCAAGACAACCTACACATTTGAAGTGTGGATTTTAGGAGGGGCTTAGCAACCATGTGTAGGATACATTCATGCTCGGACAGCAGCTACTGAGATAGAAACAAAGAACAAACCTCCTGCACCTTTATGTCACACTGAGCAGGCAGGAGCAAGCACCTGGGATTCTCTTCTGCTTGGGCCAAGCAGTGCCACAACACTCCACCTCTGAGAGCTTCAGATCAAGGCAGTTCTGCCAACTCTGTGCCCTTCTGCTCTGCAGCACCAACCCAGCCCCTTGCACCTCACCAACATTTTCTCCCTGAAATACAGCTGTTTTTCACAGGTTTGGAAAACCAAACCTAGGATGAACCTTTAGGATCTTCATAAATCTTTTATTTAATTAAGCATTAAGGAACTCTGAATTGCCAAGGCAACCCTTCGCAAAACCACCACCTGACCAGAGTTCACCTGCCATGACACAGCACTGTGACCATCAGTTTTCTCAGACACACGCATTTTAGGTATCAGATTTCCTGACACCACCTCAAGATTATCAAGTAGGGTATCCATTTTACAGGTTCCAGCACTCCCAGGTAAGCCTCCTCACTGGCATCTTTTAGTTCAGCAACTGAGAAGTTCTCAGCCCCTTCTGCAAAGCCTCACTCTGTGCCAGTGTGCTGAAAGCTCCCAGCTCAAGTTGCTCCTGGAAGATCACAGCCTTCAGACCACCACTGAATAGCTGTGACACTGTGAACAGCTTTGCTTCCAAAATTAACAAAAATGTTAACCTGATATGAAGTGGGTAATTGCAGCACAGCTGTAGGAGATGAGTGACAGTGCCAGTTCAGCTCTGCTCCAGCAGAGCTGCACATTGACACCCTGGTACTTCTCTCCAGACCGACCTCACAGCCCATTTTCCACCACTACAGCACACTCTCCCTGACCCTAACTGCACAGATCCCACACGATGTGCCAGAGCTTGGGGACACACAGTGGCTCAGAGGCACTTCCAAGCCAAATCTTACAGCAGCTGTTGGACACGCCTTCCCCAGTCCTGCCTTAGCGATAGGCCAACAACTCCTGCACATCCAGCTCTGTTCCTGCAGGGAGGGGATGTGAACGTACAGAGTCAGCTCCCTTTCCATCCGTGGAACTGTTCTGTGACTCTCAGTCAGCCAGCACAGCACACCCAGCCATGGGCACGGCCACTGCAGAGGCTTTAAGGGACAGTTCCCGTGCAGTGACAGCAGTGCAGGCTCAGGTACTGCCAACAGACCCCAACTGCTCCAGGCCCCACCTCCCAGAGCCCACAGCTCACTCCCACGGCCATCTGTACACCACGCATTTCCAGCTGGACGGGAACTGAACATACGACAGTACAAAAGAAAAGTCCAAACTGAACCTCCACATACCCCTTTTTAATATGTTATTTTGCACTGTGTACAGGAAAACCAAAAATAAACAAAAGGAACTTTAGCCAAACTCCCCTTCCTCCTCCAGCTTTATTGATAGTTTAAAATTACATTTTCTATGTTCTAGGACTTCAATTGCTCTTACCATCTTACTTTAAAAACTGATTACAAGCAAATGAAACTCAGTTGTCTAAGTGATATAGTATACAAAAATAACATCTTGATTTCTGTGAAAATGCATTTATTTGCAACTCCTGAATAGCTCCAAATTGTATATGCTATGAGCACTGATGTCTGGGTTTCAGATTGACTTTGAGATATTTATTCAAAAGCTTCCCATTACGTTCTGTATCTCCAACATGAACATTCACTGACTGAATTACTGTTACTTTTAAGATTGATTTCAGATTTCTCTCTCTCTCTCATGGCCATTAACAGGCATGTGCATCTTGTTTGTTTACTCCCACTCAGCTATATGCTCTAGGTAGGGCCTGATGCAGATATCACTTGGTGTTAACAGCTACTGAGGTCAGACAATCCAAGGCCATTGTAATAAAATAAAAGTTATGAGGAAGTTTAGACACTTCCAGAATTTCTTTCCTCCTGCATAGGATCACTTCCCTGTAACCCAGAGAGGGTTTTTGCTGGTCTGACTCAACTCTTCCCACTCATCAATCCCTATTCACCAGTGGCACGGAAAGGGGGTTCTTTAACAAAGCATTATACATAACACCTCTACCAAACTAAACATAAACATTTTTGTAGTTAAATGCAGAAAGTTGATTTTTCCACCCCTTTCCTCCTTTTACACGGCAAGTAAAGCTCACTGGCCTGGGAGTAGCCTCTATCTGCCAACCTTTGGCCAGTGAAGGGGATTCAGAGAAAAATAATACAACCATCAATCAGAAAAAGGAGGGGCGACAAAGGAAAATAATTAGGCTGTAGCTTCAATTGTGCATTCCCGTGCAAGGTGCCCTGACTCGCCGCAGCGGTAGCAGTTGACTTCGCTGGTCTTGCTGCAGTTGATGGCTACGTGGCCAGTTTCACCACACCTGCAAAGGAAACAGTTCATCAGAGCCACCCACAAGAAGCAGCCCCACCCTGTCGAGTACATTATCTGCTTCAGTTTCATGCAATGCTAGTTCTGCAGTCAAGACTTCTGTTCCTGTGTCCCAGAATTCTCTGACACGAGGGAAGTCTGTCTTAACCACAGCCAGAACTGTTCCCAAATGATCAGCTCACATTAGTCACTGGGTATGCCAAAATCACTGTACATCAAATACAGAAAGATTTGGGTGGTTTGGATTTCCCCCCCCCCCCGTTTTTTTAACTGTGGGCTGGGTTTTGCCTGCTCCCAATGTTCCTGCCTGCAGTTTAGAGTCATTAGTTAAACTCAAATACATCATGTTCTCTCTCCTTCCTCCACAGAAGGGAATGTTGGTGGGGGTGAAGAATACTGCACTCAGGAACACGCTGCTTCTGGTGTATGCCTGCATTCAAAACCCAGAGAGCACTCTGAAGATGGCATTTCAAACCCATTTAACACCCACTTCTATCCATGTTCCTCCCGAGGCTGGCTGTGCCAGTCAGCTGACCTTTACAGCTCAGCTGTGTTAGCTCTGGGTGACACACTGGGCACCCAAGCCCAGCAGGTCTGTGCTATGGGCAAGTATCTCCTGGTACCTTCTGCAAAAGGCCATGGCCCCTCCTCCTGTAGAGCCCAAGAGATTTTTAACACTGCACTGTAAGGCCATGCAGAGAAGTGCACCGTGGCATCTGTACTCCCCTTTGCTAACAGCTGTGCAAGTCCCAGCTAACTGTTATAAGAAACTCTCAGCCAGAGCTGAGGCTGCATTTCAGCCCCAGAAGGCCTCTGTCCCTGGAGGTGCAGTGCAGCTCACCTGTAGCATTTCACTTTGGTGCAGTCTTTCTGAATGTGGCCGAACTCCCCACAGGAGTAGCACTTCTGCTCGTCGGCGTGGTCGCAGTCGCGGGCCAGGTGGCCGGGCTTGCCGCAGTTGTAGCAGCACTGCTCCCGCTCCCGCTTGGGCTCCTTGCAGTCCTTCGCAATGTGGCCACTTCTACCGCAGTTATAGCAGGCTTCCACAGTGGGAAAAACACACCAAACAGACTATAAAACCTTGGTAGCACCAGGGGCAGCATGCTCTGAATGGGGCACAGCCCCAGCTTGCTCCCAGGGAACCCTGCAGCCTTCTCCTCAGCCACCAAGCTCTGCACTGCAGAGTCGAATATTTAGTGATACTTACCATCCTCCTGGAGATCACAGTCCTTGGCCAGGTGGCCAGACTCTCCACAGCGGTAACAGATATCTGGCAGAGAGGACGACATGAACTGGAAGCCTGCTTGAAACGGGTACAGGAAGGAAAAAAAAGAAAGGCCTAAGTTCAGAATAATTCTTAAGACTCAATCACAAACACTGTCAGCTGAACTGACAAGTCAGCTCCGCTCTGAGAGCCTCTGCCAGTTCTTCCATGGAGGTACATTATTACCAATCTGCAGGTCTGACAAGGCCAGTTTTACACACTGTCCCCAGCACTCAGCCTGCTCTACAAACACACACAGCCACAGCCAGCACTCACCTCTGCCACGGCTCCTCATGCCACGGCCACGGCCGATGCCAGACGGGCACTCCCGGGCCCAGTGGCCACTACGGCCACACTTGAAGCACTCGTTGCTGCTCATGGCTGCAGATCACCTGTCTGAGCAAGAAGGACATTTTAGAACACCTTCTCCTCCCCCAGCTAAAGGCCACATTGAAATGAGAGACTCAGAGGTTTCCCGCCCCCCAGCAAAGACAACGCAAACCCAACAGACTCATGGCTAACTCAACACTTCTCTGAAGTATCTGATCATGACTACTGAAACTGCTGTGAAGGACAGAACTCTGCCTCCACTTTGCTTGAAGTAAGGCAACTTAGAACAAAGAAACTGTTCTATGTAACTTTCCCTCTCACTCCTTTTTGTAGCCAACCTTCACTTCAAGAACTTACAAAATACTTGGGGAGAGGGAAAAAGTAAACCCCTTTAACTACTGTATTACCAGCCTTTATGTTGTTCTCTTTCAGTACAGCACTTTCCTCCTCAACCCTGAGAGCTAAACTCAAAAGCAGCTATTTAACTCTACAAGTTGTTACACTTTCTTTTACAGTCTGCCTAGCAGCTACCAACTTCATTGACTAATCAAGCTTCACTCTAAAAGCTCAGTATAAGAACAGGCAGCATTAAAGAACACATCAGCCCAACGTCTTTTACAACCTAACTAACAGTTAGACTCAGAAAAACAACAATTTGTAATTAACCCACAGCTCAGGCTGCATATTCCACTCCCAGGTTCACATGAAAGAAAATATTTGAAGACATCAGGCTTCCCAAAGGACAGCAGACTCTTGCCAGATATGTAAAAGGGCTGACTTGGAAAACATCCTTAGAATGCTCTGGAAGCCACAGACAGACAGGCCTGTCCTACAGCACAACCCCAAATCGGTAAATGGAGGTGAGCAGAGCCAGCCTGCACAGCTCACGGAGGCCGTGGGCAGGATGGGGCAAGGCAAACACACTGCCACACCTCCCCCGAGCTGTGGGACACTTGCACAACACCTCCATAGCTACAGGAGAACAGGAAGGCACACATTTAAACTCGAGTGGTTTTTAAAGTGTGCTACAAGTTTCAACTACACTGGTGTAAAAATACGCACCTCAAGCATTGTTTAAATACCTCACAAGCCATCTCCCAATTCATTATTTTTAACCCAACAGAAGTACAATTGTCACGTGGTATGTCTGGCAGTTTACCTGACCCCTAATCAAGATAATCCCCTGTAACCCTACAGTTCATACTCATTACAGAACACTCGTCCTCCCAGACCATCCAGCATCCCAGATTACAGCAACAGTCAGGGGCAGAGTCTTGACAAAAGTCACTACAGGAGCAACACAATGACACATGACCTCAAGAAGGAACCAGAATTAGCATCCTGACATTTAGCTCTTCAATGGAGAGCATGTATACTAACATCAATTTTAGTTATCTCTACCCTAATGTTCACCAAAGCTACTCTGGCTTTTTATCCACTCCTCCCTCAAAACAGATCCTCTCTCCGATGGTCTTCAGCACTCAAGTGATTCTTCCAACCACAGTATATGGCTGAGAATTTAAAATACAAGAGATACAAACTTTAGTGTGTTATCTCCATGATCCCACTCTAACTTCCAGCTGGACCAGGTGATGATATCTGCCCTTAAAATGAAGTTCTGCAATGAAAGAGTGAAATAAGATCTTAAACAGATCTAAACAAGACTAAACCAACTGGCTGTCCCAGCACTGAAGAGATACCCCTGGTTTTCCAGCTAACCCAGTCTTCTCTGCTCTGTGTCAGTGCCCAAGGTTCCCAGGTGGCTCCTGAGGACACCCAGCCAGCACTGCCCGCTGTAGTGGCAGCAGCTGGCACTCACTGGGCATTGTTTACGCCTGTGTTCATAGCAACCATGTTGACACTGCACAACAGGCAAAACACAGGCAAAGCCAACTGCAGGAGCTGGGCTCAGGACAATACTTGATGCTGCTTCTGATTTTCAAGAGGGATGAGACGGGATCTCTGAAATATATGCTCTTCACTCACAACTCTTCCAGAAAGTGTTCACATGAAAACATTATCAAATGAAAACGTAAGATCTGTTAAAGAGAGCAAACCAGCATGGCAGCAGCTGCAGCACAACTGCAGAACATCTGAACAGGCATCAACTACCAGACCTCACTCCATCAACCCCAGACTACGGCACAGCGTCCCAGCACTGGATGCTGCTGCAACTCCCCACAGAACCAGTCAGCTTAACACATGGCAAGAGACAAATGCCTGACAGGTGAGCCAGCCCTGCTTCAGATGCACAGGGGAGGAGTTCTGATACCAGGGCTAATGGCAGCCTACTTCCAGGCTGTCCATCCAGTCTGGGTCAGGACCTGCACGAGGAACAAAAGCTCACCACTCATGGCCCTAAGGAGTCTCAAAGTTTTACATCTGCTTCAGAGTTCCTTCCTTTATAACTGACCCTTCACAAGGAAAATATGAAGTTTCTTTTTCTCTCAGCAAAATAGCAAAGATTACACCAACTGAGTAAGAAATCTAAAGCCAAAGAACAGTCTCAGCAATTATCCTTCCAGACTATTGGAGATTCATTTAAAAACCTTTATCTCCAGAGGCCCCTTTTTCCCCTGAACTCAGAGGTACTGGAAGGTTTCAGCTGCCATCCAAGTGTGATTACAAAGCACACTCCTCTATCTTCAGAGATCTTCAGCACATCCAAGTACCCAGGAGTTTGCCTGGAGTTTCTCTTCCCCTGGTATTTCCACGTTTAAGTTCTGCATTCTGCCTGTAAAGGGTCTGAGCCTCAGCACACGTTCAGCAGCCAGAGGTGGCTGCAGATGACACTGGTTTTCCTTGCCCCACCTTCTAAAAGCCTTCCTCGGGACAGAACTCCCCAGCAGTGTGAACCATAAGGATTCAGTTTCCAGAGGAAGCCAACAGCCACCTTGAAGGAGTAACATCCAGAAAAGGCTGGTTCAGAAGACAAGTCCTTAAATGGACAGTCTCCAAGCACTTTGGACACCATTACAGCTTCACTTCCAAGAGAAAAAAAAAATGAGTGCACTAAAAACCACCCAAGTTCAAACGCTCCTCTATTAGTCAATACTCTTCCATTCTGTCATCACAGGCAAGTTTCCAGCAGTTCCTTTTATCTATCAAGGCCACCTTAAGTAAGCCTTCTGCAAGAAAGCTACTTAAGTCTGCTTGGAAAGTTTTCAGTCGCAGCTCTCACTGCTGTGCCCAGCTCGGATGTGTTACACAAAGCAGCCTGTCCTGTCTGTCCATGTGTCATCGGCCCCGCCCCCCTAACATACCAGAGGGAGATTTTTACCTCACCGGGGCAGGAAAAGCAGTAATGGAAAACAAATTACACCTGTGGCCTCACGGAGCATTTCTGAGACAGGTCAAACTCTGCAAGATATAGTAAAAGGCACTGCCTCACAGAATAAGATTTGAAAATTTATCAAAAGCACAAGTCTAACTGTGCTTCCATACCTTCCCAGAAAGAGAGAAGGTAGCAATTTACCTCAACTCCTACAGAGCTCTGCAGTTTAAAGCCACAACATCATTAAGAACGAATTTTAGACCTCGTTCTCTATGACAGCCCTACTGCTAAGGAGCAAGGCTGAGAACAGCTCTGGGCCACCAGTGCTTTCCTAGATCAGATCAGAAGCTTCTGAGGGCAAACCAAGCACCAAACTTTAAAGTGACCAAGTTTTTTTGTGTTTCTTGTAGCGATATAAGAAACCTCTGATACAAGAAGTTCTTTATATCAAACTCTGAAGGGGAAGACTGTGTCTTTCTGGGGCTTTACAGTCAGTACAGACTCAAAACTCCTAGAACAGGAGAGGTGCTATTAACCTCCAGGCCTCACACACAAGATTCAGCAATATCCGAGTTTTAGTAGCTCACCTAGAGCTTATGATGAAGAGAAATGGCACTAAGCTCCACTCTAACGCTCCTTATTTTATGGCTTTCAGCCTCGATGCCCTCCAGGGAAGAAGTTGTTTTAACAAACAAAACTTAAACTGACTTGGGCTCCTCACAGTAAAAAGGAAGCTGAACTTCAACCCCAAGATTAGTGACAATTCTTCTGGATGCCAGCAGTTCCTCAGCATTTAACAGCCCTGCACAACAGGGCCGACTCTTCACTGTGCTTACCAGGTGCTTCTTTCACCCTGCAAGCACAGCCTGCAGTCGGTATCAGCAGGACTTCACCCTTCAATCAGAGCACAGAGCAGATAAAAGCCACTGCCAGAGCCAGCACATGTCAGAGCCCTTCAGCAAGTCAGGTCTGTCAGAGGAAAACGCTGAGAAATCAGCAGCTCCTTTCCAGGTCGTCGGTGACCCACAGCACCACCCCTGAATGGGGCAAGACAGCCCCCAGACAGCCATGGCAAACCCCAGTGTGAGAGGGGACACAGCTCTGCCGTCCTCAAAGCACTCAGCAGCAGAAAGGCCTGCTGACCTAAGAGCTGGCACTTAAGTGCAACAGAGAACTCCAAGTACTACTCAGTTTAAAGGAGTTTTTATTTCACTAGCAAGGCTAAGAATTCTCGAACACGATTGTCACCAAAGCTGAATTTCCACATCTGTAACCTAAAAACCTGCTACAGCAGAGTCAGTGACGCTCCTGTCTCCCACTTTTGTCCTCCCTAGGATGAGATACAAAAGTATTCTGACCACCACATAACATTACCCCAATTCTGAAAGAAACCAGCTTGAAACGTCAGGAAAACCTGCAGCAGTGGAAAGCCAAGCCCTCTACTCCACGTGGGACCCCCCTGCACTGCACAGCCAGGCTGACCCAGCAACGCTGAACATTAACTCGAGAGCTGAGGGGCCAGAAGCCAGGACAAAAGGACATCCTGACTTCGATTACACGGGTAATTCCTGCATAGCTCTGTTAACACAAACCAGGAAGAGAAATAAAGTTCATCCAGAAGTGACTCTGCAGCACTTTTTAGCTACCTATGTGGAGTGGGAGAAAACACATCTACCAAACGTGCACATTTTAGCCATGAAAAATATAATGGGAAGATAGTATCTGTACGAACTTCTAAATTTAAAGTAGTAAACAATAAGAGCAACGTGTGAAGCTTTTAACATAAAATTCCACCCAGACTTTAGTAAAGTCTGTTGAACAGGCAGGTTAAACCTGTAACACGCGTGGCTCTTGCACTGCCCCGGTGAACTCATTTAACCTCTTCCCTCAGAGCACAGATGCAGGATTGCCTCTCCAGGCAAGTCTGCACTGAGGAAGAGAACACGGGCTACGCAACCCTAGAGCTGCGTGGAAATGGGATCACAATAGATGCTTACATGAAAACAAAACCCACTATTAAATATGACAATGCTGGATCCTATATGAGTAACAGCGGTTACTTGAGAACTACGCCCGAAAGGAACTCAAATAAAAGGCCGCCCCACGGCCCGCGACGTGCAGATGGCACAGGCTGTTTTTCCTATCCATTTATAGGTCACATTTGGATTTGGAGCAGGCCACCCATGCCTGTGGTCGGAGCAAACAGTTGCGACACCTCGACCCTGTGTCTCCGGCAGCGCCTCACACGTGGGGAGCCACGTGGTGCGCGGGCCGCGGCCCCACCGACGGGACTTTAGCGGGGACTTAAAACGAAATTAAATGAAATTAAAAGCAGAGAAATACGAACAAACCGTTTAATTCCAGCCCATTCCCCGCAGCCCCCGGTCTTATATGATATTTTACTCCCCGAACTTGCTGGCTCACGGCCGGGCCGCTCTCCCCCTGCCCAGGCCCCGGCGGCCACGTGCGGCCCTGCCCCCGCCCCGCCGCCCCGCGGGCCGAGCGTGCGGCGGCCCCGGCCGCGCCCGGGTGGAGAGGAGCGCCCCCCCCCCCGCACCCCGGGCGGCGCAGGCTCCCTGGGCGCTCCCGGAACCCAGGCCTGACTCACCCTCCGCCGCCGCCCTCACCAGACCGGCGGGCCCCCCCGTCCCCCGCCCGTCCCGGCCCGGAATGGCGCCCGCCCGCACTTTCCCGCGCTAGGCCGGAGTGCGCCAGCGCCATCACCGCCCCGGCGCGGCGCCCACGCCGCCGCCACAACTCCCACCCCGCGCTCCCCGCGGCTCCCCGGCCGCTCCCCCGCGGTACCTGCGGTCCGGTTTTCCCCCCGCGGCCGCGGCCCCCGCACGCCTCGGCCCCGCTCGCTCGCTCCTCCGCTCCGCGCCGCCGCCGGCCCCCGCTGCCTGCGCCACACGCGGTGTGCACACGGCCCCACCCGCCGCTCTGCGCACGGCTCGCCGGGGGAGGGGGGCAGCGCCCAGCCAATGGGCGCCCGGCGCTGCTCGGCGCGGCCAATGGGAGCGGGGGTGGGCGGGGCGCGCGTCCCGCGCGCGGGCGGGGGCGGCCATGGCGGCGATGGGGCCGCGCCGCCCCCCCCCGGGCCGCGCCGCTCCGCCGTGACTCACCCTCGGCCCGGGGGGGGGCGGCGCGGTTTCACGCACGCACCCGGCGCTGTGCGGGGCGCGGGCAGGGCTGGCAGGCCCGGCCCGGGCTGAGCGCGGCGGGCAGAGCCGCTGCCCGCCCTCACGGCCCGTGAGGCGCCGCCGCCATCTTGGCGGGGCGCGGGCGCCGCCGGCGCGCAGGAAATGGAGGACGCGGGGGCCGTGAGGGCGCTCCCCCGGTGCCCGCAGACACGAGGGAGGGGGAAGAAAGTTGTTTTGAGCGACTTTTAAAATTTACGCTCGGACCCTGCGTGCCGTACACGAAGCTCGGAGGTAGTGCTGCTGTTTAAGTTTAGCGCTCTGGGGGATGTTTACATAAACGCTATCCCTTGTGCCTGGTAACTTTGCATATGAATTAGTGACCAGTTATTGCCCCGAACGCACTGCTACATTCGTGGCCGGGCAAGTACAACAGTACAGCAGCGTCACCCAGCATCAGTCGTCATCCTTTTGTTCCAAGTCACACTTTATGTATAAAAGTCTTTCCCCTTTCTTGTAAAGACCCGCCGAGCCTCAGGCTCAGGAATAAAACGTGGTGCTGATCACGGAGATGCTTTGTATTGACCTTTCCTCAAGCTGTAAATCTAATATTATAGCACTGTAGTTAAGTTTCTTTTATTAGACTGTGAGTAACAACGTATGTCTTTTCCTCGTGTTAAGTACAGCTCATTTAAGATGGACTTTACACGAGTTCATTTGTGTTTTGTGGGCTGTATCTGCGTGTCTGTCTGGTGTATTTATAATGAGCTGTATTTTCCACAGAGCTGAACCCACCACGCATCAGCACCGAGGTGTGAAAAGGGGACCTGTCTCTGCATATTACTCTAGAATGTCTGACAAACTTTTGCCAGGTCTTGTTCTGACATTTGTTTTACAGCACTCTAAAAATACCAGCATCACCAACAAGCTTTGAACTTGTAATATTATTTTTTTCCATTGATTACTTTTTTCATCTCTGCTGTCGTGGTTCAGCATAATTTTCATTTCAGGCCTTTGCTTGCCTCAGATACATTACAATCCTGTTGCACTTTCAGTTTTCATGGCTACTCTTTCCAGGGGATACAGGGAAGAAAAATAATGTGTGTAGCTAAGGAAGTGCTCAGAGCTTCGAAATCATGACTGTGTCTGCTCTGCAGTAAAAAAAAAAAAAAAAAACAATCAAGGAACAGATCAATATCACTCAGAAAGGCTACAGAGACAAAATCACATATTCTCAATTTTTTCAGCAAATCTCTTTTAAAAGTACTAGAACGTGGTCTCTCTGAATCTTTGTAACAGGACTCAGGAATTTCAGACCAACAAACCAATTGTACTACAACTTTTCTAACTTTTCTTGTGTTTTGCTGGTTGTACTTCTTGAACTGTCCACGGGGCCAGGAAACTCCAAACTTAACTGTGGTGGAACCTATAGACTTACTGTCAGCAAAAGTTTTTGTGACTGGTAGAGATGGTAAATTGCCCTGAACAAATCAAAACCGTTTATTTAGAAGAACTTGAGATCGTACCCTGGAGTCTCCCTTAGTTGAAATGGAAAGAGGGTGCAACTGTGAGTGAAAATGCTTCACTCCAGAAGAGTTACTGCTGGTGACACATCAATTAATCACCCTCCCAAAGTGTACTGCCTCAAATACAGCTCGAGTGTTCTTACAATACAGGATATTTTTAGCTGTTTCGTTATAATGGAGGAAATTCTCCTCCAGCAGATAGCAAGAGAGTCTTCTAACACTGTTTAGTTTGTGTACTTGCCCCAAGAATTAATTTGGCTTGTTGTATCTCAGTAAAGCTTGCAGTTCTTGTTTGTCAGGTTCCTCTGATATTTAGGCAAAGGAGAGTCTTGCAGTTAGAGAACAAAAGTGAGAAGCATGACATCTATTCCTGTCTCAGTACTTCCTAGAGAAAACAAAGGAGACAGAGAGCAAGGTGGAAATACAAAGTTTTTTCATTTCTTGTGCTCAGGGAAATAGAGTTTGATGTCAGTCCCAGTCTCTGCCCCAGAAATCCCAAGCCTGAAGAGCACTTTGTGAATAACAGTGCTCAGAGGAGCTCAAGTGCAGCACTAGCTGAAGGGAGTCTGTCGTGTCAGCAGTGTATCTTTCCTAATGCAGACAGTTCTTAGAAGTGTTGGATGAAGAGCCAAATCACTTTAAGCCCAAATGAACCAACAGATCAGATTTTGTGAGGAGTGCTGTTGCATTGTTTCCCTCTGAGTGCTCGGGCCTGTGGGTAGAGGATTGTTTCAGTTGCTGGGCAATTTTCATTGCCTCAGCCACGCATTTCCATTGTGAAAGCAAACCTTACTTCAGTTGGGATGGGGGATTTGTCAAAACCAAGGAGACCTAAAATAATCATTATGGGTTGTAAGGATTCAAAAGAGAAACTGCTTTTGCAGTGTTGTCGAGTTTAAAACAATCTGTCAGCAGCAGTGTCAGAACAAGTGGTGGCTGTTTCCTGTTCCTCCCCCCATTCCCAGCCATTCCTTTTCCTGCCAGGAGGCCCCAGCAGGGCAGGAACACCCCCACCTTTGCCCAGGTGTGCCCCTTGCTGCCCTGCCCTGCCCTCTGCAGCAGTGGAATTCCAGTGGTCTGGAATCTGCAGTCAGCTCTGTGTATTTATTGCTTTCAAAAGGCCACAGTCAGCTGAGGGCTGATACAACCCCAGAGAAATCAGCTGCTGCACTGACCAAGGAGAGCCTGCTTAGCACTTGCCAAATAAATGACAGGTCAGGAGGCATCACTGGGGATCCTAAGAGACTTTTGACATGTGGAAGGTGTATATTCCCTGTATTCCCTGGATGATGCAACACATAGCAGGAAAGATCTGCCTGCTTCTTTAATAAAGTATTCATATTTGGATTCAGGCTTCATGGCTGAATTATTGCCCAGGCTTATATATCTTCATTGTTATTATTTTGAGAGTATTCTATGTTGAATTAGCTACATACAGTCCTTTAGGTTGAAATGAATCTGGCTGAAGAGAAGCAATCAGACTGACTCACTCCAGATTGTTAGTTCAGTTTGATATATTGTAATTAGCTGAGGAGATTGCAGATAATTGCTTATGTAATGTACATAATAATACAAGTGGTGAGTTAGCTCATGACTGTTGCACAGACATCCACATTTAGGGTCAGGCAAGAAGAGCTTCCCCTGCTAACGCCTGTGTATGGAGATAAACCCTGGATTTGAAGGCAGCACAAGGTCATACCCACCAGAACCAGTGGCCACACACAGACATCTTTGTGCTCTTCTCCTATTTAACAGCCTGTTGAATAACCTGTTGTGTGCCAGCTGCTCAGGATGCTTTAATGTCCATCTTCAAGCTGTCATTTCCTTCTGTCACACGTGCAGTTGCACCACTGAGCCCATTGTTATGTCTGTTAAGATGACTACAGTGTTAGAAATTCTAAAATCACACCAATATTTGATGGGGTGTGTGGCACTTCGGAGAGCACGTGGTGCATGGTGGAGCAGTGCTTGCTGCAGGATGGCTCTGGGACCACCCACAGAGCAAAGACTGAAGGATAACCTGTATAGCCTGGAGAGTTAGAGGCACTAAACTGTGATAATAATGTGGATGTTCACATGTCCACAGTGTTGATGGAGTTCTGGTGTCCCTCTAAACAGGGATGTGCAGCTGAAGGGGCAGATTTGATCATGCTGCTGCTTCTGTTTCTGAACAGTGCCCCGAGGTTACCCCTGACGGTGTGAGTGCCCTGAGGCACAGGGGACTCTGTTCTCAGTTGTCTGACCCAGCATGTGCCACTCCATCTGCAGCCTCTCAAATGCTTCTCTCTCTTCTCCCAGTGATTTTCACAAGGGATTCCAAAATTTAAGTTCCACTGCTGAGGGATCAGTGAAATCTCTGTGTAAGTGTTTGTTGAAAGTACAACTAAAAATACGAATGGTTAAGTTAACATGATCTGACAGATGGGCCCGAGCCTTCCCTGATGCTGGTGATTGCAGCGGAGTGCTCGTGCCATTCTGTTCACTTTGAGGGGGCGTCTCCTGACCTGAGGCTCCAGAGGGGTACCAGGTCCCACTTCCCTTTGCTGGACAGTGGAACTGAGCTGTGTAGGATGGATTTGGAAGTCTCCATTTGAGGGTCTTAATCAGCCCATCTATCAGCATGTTTGATATCCAGGAACTGGAGTTGCACCCCAAAGTTTTTACGCCCCATGTCTATGCCAGTCAACTCTGGGAGCAAAAGACACTCTTAGGAAAGAAAGAGCATGTCAAGAGTACAGCGTCAGACCAGAGCCAACCAGCTCCCAGAACAGCTCTTAAGTTTTCCAGAGGCAGGGAAATAGCCTGTTGACAGGTGAGTGAGGAGAGGCAGAGCTGGAGGAGCAGTGGAGCTGCTCTGTCCCCTCCCACTGCACTGCTCCCAGGGCAGGGTTCTAACCTGCTCTGGATGCAGCAACACAGCTCGGCTCCAGCACTGAAATGAGCTCTGTATCTGGGCTTGACCAGGCTCCAAGGGATTTCAGTAACAGGAGGCTGAGTCAGGACTTGGCCACAGGTGGATCAGAGCCTTTGCAGTGTTTATTTATTAAATATATCCCATCTGCTGTCCTGTTTGCAGCCTGCCAAAGCAAAAGGGATTCAAACCTTCTCCCCTCCCTAACATCTTAATATTGAAATAATGAGTAGAGCTTTTTTCCCCCTCTATGTTATTCCTGGGATAAGCTGTCAAACAAGCAGCTGAGTTGTTGCACCTTACCACAACTTTTGCCAAGAAAGATTTAGCAGCACGACAATGTAATGGAAAATATT